TTTGAAAAATAATGTGTTTTTTGAACATTAAAGCATGTCAACATATTCTGTTACACCAAATACACCAAATAATGATCTTTTAAAAAGCATCATATGACCCCTTTAATCGGTGAAAATTCTTACGGTCGGTTAACCGGTTAAAAGGTTAAAATGAACATCCCTACTTCAAATATATCAGGGCTTTACTGAATTGACTTAAAGTGAATGTTTTAGTTGTAAACCCAAGCTCCTATCCACTGCTATTGGTTGTTGTTTAGTCCTCTTGTGGAGGTCAGTTTGTCTCTTTTTATAGAGGTTGCATATTCTCCTGGCACTCAGTGCACTTTTGTTCTACCTGTTTTTACTCGTTACGTGCAGCCTCAGTCTTTCAGACGAGAGAAAAGAGCCATTATGCCCATCAGCTGTCTGTTACACAATGCACTCAAACCTATTAAGAAGGAAAGACAAAGCAAAGCTGTTTTCCCCCCCTCCGTTGGCCGTGTTGAATCAGCAGAGCCACTGGTGACATCGCTACGTGTTCACCATTTTGAACAATCTGCGTCCCGAGAGCCCGTCGACTGTATATCCTCTGCCTTTTGTCCTGGGTTGATGAGAAGTGCTGGTGCTCTGGTTTGCACCGGCAAATAAAGGACTAATGTTCGTAAGCAAAGAAGACACGAATGGCAGTAATGGTGTAGTTCGGGACCAGGTGTGGCATTGTGACCGAATGTGTGCCGAGAGACTCTAATGTTGCATTTACGCTGGCCACTTGACATGCCCTTAGAATTCAACAACTCTCTTTGAAGGTGAATGGCTTTTGCAAATCACTGTGCTCGTAAACAAACTTTAAGGCTCCTGTTATTGCTTAAAAACTGTTGTTCAGCTGAGACAGTGCTGTTTAGATCTAAATGTAGAACCTAACCTAAGGATGCGTTTTCATCCGATATTGTTTTATTTTTTTCATTTATTCGCTTTTATGGTTTTTATGTTTCTTGTTTTGTTTTGGTTTGTTTTTTTTGTTTAGTTTGGATTTATTTTCAATTAGTTTTGTTTCTTTTTTGTTTCTTTTTTTATTTTATTTGCTTTGTTGGTTTGTTGTTTTGTTTGTTTGTTCATATTGGTTATTTATTGGTTATTAAATGTAATTCTTAGCAGATCTTAATATGAATATCCATCTTTCATAGTGTACCATGTTGTAATGCCTAAATTAAATTCAAGCCTAAATTCGAGCAGTTTTATGTTTTGCATTATCTTTAATATCAATGATTTAGTGGTTGTCGTCCATAGCATGAATGCAATTATCAGCTTATCGGTATTAACCAGAATTTTAATATCAGTGCATACATGGTAATACCATGAATTTTGAGCATTCGATTATAAGGAAACTGGATTTGTATTTGGAGACCAGCTGTAACCCTATTCCTAACCTCTTAAAGACTATTGATATTCAGGCTTCACTTGATGAAGCATGTTCTTACCTCTTCCAATTTCTTCCCACGCTAGGAATTTTCTTGCAACACACAACAGCTCTGTCATGGAATTTGCACAGGAATTCCTACAGATTTCTGTCCCGTGGCCCCATCTTTTTCTGGCTTACTTCCAGCTCTTTCGTCAAATATGGGCCCCATTTCTTCAACTAAACTGATCAAAATCTGTCACTTTAATCACATCGCACTTCACTTCCCCCAGAAGCCGCACCTGCCGGCCATTCAGTCAGGCTTGTAGCCATATAAGGGATGTGGCATGATCCTCATGCTGCTCATTTGTAATCTGAGATGGCTCCTTTTACGTTCATTATTCTGACAAAAATGAAAGGTCAAGTAGCTGTCAGTTATATTTCTGTATATATAAAGCATTGATCTCGTTTTGGTTTAGCACTCAGTGGAGATGTTGCTAAGCATTTAGACACATGGTAAATGGTTGCTTACTTCAAAGTTACATGCTCCAAAGTTTCTATTGTTGTTTCCTGTTTTAGCTAAATGCTGTCAGGTCTCTACATGCCTAAGTAAATGTCAGGTTATATAGTCTAGAGGCACAGTGACCCATTTGGCAGTCCTCCATTGTGGACTAGTTTACATGTTGTGTTTTCGGAACAATAAAATAATTCAAGTATGCGTAGAATATTTTTATGCACTCTTGAATGTTAAGTGATAATATCAAAGTAAACCCTAGAATGTGAACTTCCTGGTAGCCTGCAGGCACTGTCTATCAGATAGTAATCAATAAAACCTTTTTATTTTATGTATTTTTTATTTAATATTTTATTTTTGTAGTTTAATGTTATTGATCAGTCATTTACAGTTTTTAATAGGCATACTATTTTTCTCACAAACTTAACCTTTGACACTATTTAGACACTAGTCTTCCTGAAACTGTTTACCTTGTTACACTGAAGTCAACTTGGTGACCTCTATGGTTTCTCAGCTGGAATTAAACATAATGGCATGAGCTGTTCAACATTCTTAACACATCAAAAAAAAAAAAAAAGTCTATCATGCCAAAGTGCCATATATTTTGCTTTGCGTGTAGTTTGTCTTCTTGGATATCCTACAGTTTGAGCAGGTTAAGTATATGTACTAATCCAAAGCGTCTGTCCCTCCCTCCATCTTGCTTCAGGCGTGGATATCGAGGCGGCCAGGAAAGAGGAGGAGCGGATCATGCTAAGGGATGCACGACAGTGGCTTAACAGCGGCCAGATCAACGACGTCCGGCACACCAAGTCTGGGGGTACCGCACTGCACGTCGCTGCAGCCAAGGGATATGCTGAGGTTTTAAAGTAAGTTTGCTTGCCTTCAAAAGAAAGATTTTGCCATTTTCCATCCAGAAAGGATTCAACGGACACCTGGGATAATATTTGTCTTTATTCTTTTGCCAGCAAGTGAGATTTAGCAGCTAGTGAAGGTAGAAACAAATGAAACTCTGGTACTGCAGGTGTAGAGGCTTTATTGCTTAACTTAGTTCATCCCGTACCTCACCTTTCAACTCTTTCAGTATCCCAAGGGTCTTGTACACAGGGCGAGACAGTTTGTAACCTGTTTATCTGTCTCAATTACAGTAGATTATCGTGAGCTGTTGAACAAACACAGCTCAGGACGTGTGTCAGGAGTTAGGAGTTTATGGTGCTTTCGGTCTGTGGATGTCAGAGTTGAATGACTGTGACAACTGCTCCATCTGCCGCTGCACCAAAACAAGAGGATTGTAACCGGATAGACTGTTCTTTTTGTGTTGGATCTCAGAAAACTTCAACTAATGTGTATTTTTATGTGTGACGACTAACTGTTGGCATGTATAACCTGCCTTCTAGGCAATGGAAAAATGAACCCATTGGTCCACATAATATCCCAGACCTTTGGCAAATGAGGCCAAGCTTAGATTGTGGCACCAAAATCCAAGAAACCCAGATTTGTCTAATCTCATCATGCTATTTCTGTCGCTCTGACTGGTTGCAGGCTTTTAATCCAAGCAGGGTATGATGTAAATATTAAAGACTACGATGGCTGGACTCCGCTCCACGCTGCTGCACACTGGGGCAAAGAAGAGGCCTGCCGGATACTAGTAGAGCATTTGTGTGAAATGGACATTGTCAATAAAGTGGTATGGGATTTATGGTTCTGTCTGTGTGCTGCTAGCTTCTGTGTAGTCTCTGAGTTGAACCCTTACACAATGTTGCGTTTTGGTTCTCAGGGTCAGACGGCGTTTGACGTAGCTGATGAAGATATCTTGGGATATTTAGAAGAGCTGCAAAAGAAACAGAATCTGGTAATTTCTCACTTCTGGCATCAGATCTTCAATTGTAAATGTAATTCTGAGCCTTGTCTTGATGCGTTCTGTGTTTGTTTCAGCTTCTGAGTGAAAAGAAGGATGTTAAGAAGTCTCCTTTAATAGAAACTACGACTACTGGGGACAATAATCAATCTGTGAAACCACTGAAGAGGTAAACGGCTCCTGCCACCACCATGATGGAATTGAAATACTGTTTACTCAATGTCTTGACTTTACCATGAATGTCAAGGCCACTTGCACTAGGGTTGACTAGGGGTGCTTTAACACTAGAACCTTAGGTTTGGATTTTTGCCATCAGAGTTTGGTTGATCTAAGTGGCTTTTCCAAACTTGGGTGCGCAACAGCAAATTCTACCCAAGTCCACTTGAAAAAGCAGTCTGAGGTTCAGCTGTGGTACTTAAAGGGATAGTTCACCCAAAAATGAAGTGTCATTAATTACTCATCCTCATGTTGTTCCAAACTCGTAAGACCTTCGTTCTATGTCGTTTATGAGGGTGAATAGTTAATGCAATTATTTTGAACTATCCCTTTAACCCATTTTAAAAGGCAAAGCCGAACTGCTATTGGAGACCTAATGGAGTTGTTCATCTCTGCTTTAGTAAAGAAACACTTCTACTGGAGCCAGAGAAGACTGTCCCACGAATCGAGACTCTGGAGCCAGAGAAGGTGGATGAAGAAGAGGGGGAGGGGAAGAAAGATGAGTCTAGCTGCTCTAGTGAGGAAGAAGACGAGGAAGACTCAGAGTCTGAGAACGAAGCAGGTATCCGTTTGAAACATTGACCACCACATACACTTTCCCAGCTAGCTTTGTGGTAATCAGTAAGGTCATTTGCTTACTGTTTCTTTTTTTTCAGACAAGACCAAGTCTTCTGTTCCGTCGAGCATTTCTAACAGTACACCTGCACCTGCTAGTATCACCGTCACGTCCCCAACTACCCCCAGCAACCAGGTGACCACCCCAACCTCACCTACCAAAAAGGTACATATTCCTCCCCTTGAACGTGCTGTCCAACTTTCCATCCACCCAGACTTCTCCTTGGCAATATCATTCATTCTATATAGCATGTATTTGAGTATGAGTCAGTAAGCGAGAAAGGTGCATCTGCAGCTTTTCAGAATGAATGTTATTGTCTTCGTTTCAAGGTGACTGTTGGTTTCATAACACAGTGAAGGAGTTCTACAGATTCGTAATGTTAACGTGGCTTCACGGTTGCAAAATACTAAAAAGTCAGCTGATCTACATCATATTCAGGATTGTCAGTGTGCAGTGAATTCTGGGACTGTGCACTGCACTTGAGAGGAGAGAAAATGTCCTCCACACCTCTTTACCATGTACCTGCTGCCCTCTGCTGGACAGTAAGGACACTTCATCAATGTCAGCCAACTTTCATCAGGCAACTACACAATTTGTAGAGAAAATGCAGTTGTTCAGAACAAATTTGATTTCACCATTAGCCAGATTTATTATTACTCAACAATAACCCAATTTAATTACTTAATGTAATTAAATTGGGTTATTGTTGAGGTTTTAAATATTTTAGTTTAATATTTTTTTGTTAATAACTTGAACTTGGCTTTATTTAATGCTATTTGGATTCTAAATATAGATTGACTTTTAATGATCATAAACACTGTATTTCAACTATTTGCACTAGAGATGCACCGATTGCAATTTTCTTGACCGATTCCCATTTCCGATTTTTTTTGTTTTGTTTTTTTTGGTAAGTGTGACCTGCCGATACTGATTTTTGCCGATTCCGGTCTTTTTTCTAAGAACTGTAAGTGACAGCATGTACACACAAAAATCTATACTTTTTTCAATGCAAAATTTATTTACATAATAAATTTAATTATTAAACATTACATTTACATCAACAAACTCCATCTTTCCACTGCAGGAAACACAGAGGCTGCATCTGAAATGGCATTATATGTAGACTGTTTGATGAAATCGAGGTGCCATAAATGCATTTACACTGCAAAATTTCAAATGCATAAATAATTTTATAAGATTAATGTTTTAAATATTTTTTTAAACACCTGAATAAGAAATGTTGGGAAAAATACAATGATACTTTTTAATATGAAAGCAAACCACCAGTATGTGGCGGCAAATGACCGTTTTAATGAGGGAGTCACTTAGTCATTCAACCGATTCGTTTCAAACGGCTGATCCATTCACAAATGAGGCAAGTGACTACTGTCTTCATCAATACATTACAAGTCGCCGTTTACACTGAATGCAATAAAATCAGAAGAATCACTTTTGTGCGAAATTTTTTGGTGGCCAGGTTTTAGTGCTTCCTTAGTTGTTTTTGTTATTGGCATTTGAATAAGGCTTCTTGTCCAGTCGGGCTAGTAAAATTTTCTCTCACTTGCCCCAGATAAGCATTAATCGAGCCCTGTGGTTCTCCCACAGTTAACTTTTGCCTTACACATATTACAAGTTGCGAACTTTGTGTCTTCTTCACTCACAGTGAAGAACTTCCACGCCGACTACATCCGGGCCGATCATGCGGAAAATTGGCTAATTCCGGTCCCTGGCCGGTCGATCGGTGCATCTCTAATTTGCACTTCAAGGTATATATATAATGTATTCAAAGAATTTAATTTCCAAGGAGATGTCCTTTCTGTAGTTTCGGTCTTCCTGTAGCTCAGCTGGTAGAACATGGCCAAACTATGTCATAACTGATTGTTTTTACATAACCTACCCAGTACCCACAAACAAACAATGCGGTGTCATAATCGGAGTTTTGAGAAGGTATTTTTTAACATTCAGGAAGTCATTTTTGTAGTAATGTTTTTCTGCCATCACAAGCCGATCTTGATCTGAAGCATAAATTATAATAAAAATGAATAGCGAGCATTTTAATAATTAAAGTATGTACTTTAAAAACCTAATTAATATATTAAAATCAAATTCAATCTTCTTCTTTTTTTTTTCTTTTTTCTTTTTTCTTTTTTTTTAGACAAAAACGTGCATCAGGTATCCGTTTCTTTTGCTGCTGCTGCTGCTTTTTGATTTATTTCATTCAGGGGTTCATTCTCCCTTTTTCTTGCTTTTCTTTTCTTCACAATCATCTGCTTTTCTCTCTCTACTCATCTTTGCTGTTGTCTTGGATGGCTTTAGTCTGATAACATTACCGCCCTTGTGCCTGGTGGGGAGCCAGGCTGTCCTGCGTTGTGGCGTCAAGGCTTGCGCAAAACAGGCATTTCACTTGTGCCCAAAAAAGCAATGGTGAGGCCTTGGTGTGTGCAGCATTGTGATTCCCGCCCACCCTATTATATGTTCCCCCACATGACCACGTCCCTAACCAATCAGATAACTGCCTAATCTAAGACCATTTCCTCTTCCTGTCACTGGCTCACTGCATGGTGTTGTCGCTGTCAGTCGCGGCTGTGCCTGTGATGACGTGCTGTTTTCTGTTGAAACTAATTTGTGTTATATTTTTATACCTGAATGTGGTGGACTAAATATGACAGGGTGACTTCAAAGTTGTGTGTACTTTGATAAAGGTGAATTGATTGACTGTTGACTCTAAACCCTAACAGGTCACCAGGATGCTGATGAGTTAGCAAAAACTAAGATCTTGATTGAAATTGGGCATGTTTGGTTTTGTCATCTGTGTTGTTATGGAGTATACTCATCTTAAGCCTAGTTTTCTTTTAAGTAAACAATTGTAATACATGTTTGCTTTTCTGAAGCAATGAAAACCACTAAATAGTTCAAAATGGCCCCCACGTGTTTCCCTTTAAGTTTATTTTTGCATTTAGCATTAGGCTTGACCGTTGATTAAAATAGGTATTTATTTATTATAAAATATTTATTTTTAAAAAAAGCTTTTTATTTTTAAAGCATTTTATTTGTCAGCTTTATTTACAAGATATGGTCACAGTTTAGTTTGTGAACCAATTCGCACTATAAACTATGTTTTTTCCTTCAAACTTTTAATTAGCTGCTTATTAACAGTTAGTATTGTAGTTGTTATTACATTTTTGTGTATTATTATGTGCTTTATAATAGAGGTCGACCGATGTATCGGTTTTGCCGATTAATCGCCACCGATAGTTGATTGCTGGAACTATCGGTTATCGTCAAAAATCCATGCCGATAGTTTTCCCGGGTTGCGTCCATTGCTGGAGCCGGCTGAGAAGGGTCTGCTGTCATTACACAGTGCGAGAGCGGCCTCTAGTGGTTGAAATCATTGACAGCACGTGCTATTTGTTTAATAGCACGTGCTATTTGCTAACAGAGCGGGAAACTTCAGACGCGGATTTAAATGCAGCCGACAGAAAATCCTGCCGTGCCACAGAGCGCCATTCACATAGTTTTCCTTTAAATTACATTATATTGGTCCCGAATCGTTGTTAATGTACATAATGAATTGTGTATTGTGCATTTTCAGCAAAACGTTTGTCTTTCTGTGGCTCTAATAAAGTCTGTGTGCTTCATTTATAGAGCTATAATATAGCTCGCGCTTACTCTTTCCGTTTGCTCCGTTTTTTTAAACGCCGAACTTCAAACTCATCTATACCAAATTGTTCATTCTTGAAGTAAACTTGTGTCTGTTTGGTGATTAAATAAACTGTTTTAGACCGCTGCTCGAGTTGAACGCGATGTGTCCGGAGTGTGTGTGATACCGGTGAGTTCTCCTAGACTCAGCGCTGCGCTTTTATTTTGATTAGATAATCATCAAGTGTTCAACAATAGAAGCAGTTCAAGTCTGAGAGTATAAATACAATATCCATATGTATATAATTTTAATGCTATAGCCTTTGTGTATATATTTAAAGATGTGCATTTTTAAGCATGACAGTTGAAATGAAATGGTAACACTTTAAAATAAGAGTCCATTTGTAGCATTAAGATTAATGAAAGCTGTGTAAGTATTGTTCCTTGTTAGAGTGTGTTAATTTCAACATTTACTATTACTATTATTATTATTTTTACTACTACTATTAGTATGGTTCAGTACTGGTTTTGTTAATAAAGCACTATTTCACTATTTTTTTGTTCAGTATCAATTTTAAAACAATCGGTTAATTAATCGGTATCGGCCAGTGTGGTCCAACCTAGCTATCGGTATTGGCAAAATCCACTATCTGTCGACCTCTACTTTATAAGTACTAATAAGTAGCCAATATGCTAGTAATATTCATGCTAATTAGCAACTAGTTAATAGAAAGAATTGCTCTCTAAAGTGTTACCTAAAATATTTATAATTTTTAACTGTATTAAAATATATTTTTTATTTTATTTGTTTACTTTATTACCACTATTTAGTATTTCTATCTATTTTTTTTTTTGTAATTTTACATTTTTTATTTATAAAATATTGTATTTTTTTATATTTATATTTATTGCAAATTACCTTGATTTTTATTAAAATGGTTTTGTGTTTAAGAATATTTACAACATACTATATATTATTTTGTTGGCAGTTTAAAATAAAGAGTTGTTTTTTTGTTTGTTTTGACCATTACGTTTCCTGAAGAACAAGCTTGTGGATTTTGTGATTAGTTTAAACTATTTCAGAGCATGTACATAAATATTGTTACTTATATATTTTTTTAATTCTGAAAATATCAAAAGGTTGCCCAGCCCTACAGACCAGTGCTCCTATATTTATGCCCTGCTTTGAACTGTCAGGCTGATCTGAATTCCCCGTTCTCTCTCCCGCACACATGAACAACCCTTAATGTTGATTTACAATGTGTGCTCTTGGTGGTCTAATAAATTCCATCACTGCACAAGTGTGTGCTCTAGATATTCTTGTGATCAAAATATTATGCGGTTGGAATTTGGGCTTCTCAGATGTTGACATGCCCTAATTGGAAATTGCATAGAACAATCTTGATGTACTTCCAAAATGAACTGACTTTTGTTTTCCACCCCCATCCCTTTCTTTATCTGTTGTTTGTCCTCCTCAGGTGAGCACACCTGCAGGGAAGGTGTCTCCAAAAGAGGAGGAGAGGAAGGACGAGTCTCCTGCATCATGGCGACTGGGCCTGCGGAAAACCGGCAGTTACGGAGCACTGGCAGAAATCAGCACAACTAAAGAGGCACAGAAAGAGAAGGACACAGCCGGGGTGATGCGCTCGGCCTCTTCTCCTCGCCTCTCATCCTCACTGGACAATAAGGACAAGGAAAAGGTCTACTAGAATGTAGTTGTTTAATTTGGGGTGAAATATTCCGTTTAATTGGAAGGAGGAGGAGTTTGAATTCAATTCTTGAGCCACAACAACATGTCCTCTTCACAGGAGAAGGAGAAGACACGTCTGGCATATGTTGCACCAACCATCCCGAGGAGACACGTTAGCACATCAGACATCGACGAGAAGGAAAACAGGTAAAGAACAGACACATGCTTATTTGTGCATTTGTGAGAGCACCTCTTGCTGCTCCATGTTGTGTGTTGCAGTATGAGAATCACAAGCTGAAGTGTAATATGTTTTTGTGGCTTATGCACCACATTCATGTTGTACGTGAGAAGAATATTACTAAAGAGGGGTTAGGTAGTGTCCCGTATACTCTCAAATGTCTTTTATTAGTATTTCTCCAACTGCTATGAATGACAGTTCATTAGAAGTGAGTTAGTTTAGTATTGTAAAAGATGGTTCTCTGGAATCGGAGGTACTATTTGTAGCATGTGGTTCTCAGGGATTCGGCTGCTAGTCTGGTACGTAGCGGCTCGTACACCAGGAGACGCTGGGAAGAAGACCTGAAGAACACCGACGGAACCGCCTCGCAAAACAGAACCTCCAGCTATCAGCGCAGGTTAGCTTTTATTCTAGTAACAAAATTGGTTTTACTGGCTAGGACTTTCAAAGAGATGGGCGAAAGCCGGTCGCTGTTTCCTGCGGCTCACTGAGATGCTTCTAGCACTTTTATCTTGCTGACAAGCGTTTATAGCTGCTTCTGTCTTGTTGAGTTTGCGTGAGACGCATATAAATATAATATAAATTCCTAAAATACAGAGGCAGCAGTATTTTCATGCATGCGTTTATATTGTGTATAGTCAATTGAAAAAGACATTGAAAAAGCAATTATGATATTAGATAACATGTTATAATATGTCTTTATTAACACTGTCATTTGGGGTCAATAAGATCAAATCAGCATATTGGGCTGATTTTTGAAGGATTATGTGACACTGAAGACTGGAGTAATGATGCTGAAAATGCAGCTTTGCATCACAGGAATACATTACATTTTAAAAATACAGAAAATATAGAAATCAGTTATTTTAAAATGTAAAAATATTTCACAGTGTTACTGTATTTTTGCTCAAATAAATGTAGCCTTGATGAACATAAGAGACTTCTTTCAAAAACAAACAAATCTGACCGACCCCAAACTTTTGAATGATAGTAAGTTTGTCATACTGTATTATTAAGTCAAAACTATATGCAGATTTGTTTATTTATTACAGTTTCACACTCGAGCTGTCAGTAAAACAAAAAATAATCTGAATAATGAATATCATGATCTTCGACCAGTCTTTAGAAATCGAATTGTGACAGTACTTTAATTAAATGTTTTAAATTATTAAATATACATATATGTAATTAATATTTAGACTTCACATGATAAATTTGATAGACATTTAATAAGATTTCCTCGAATTTTCCCTAATTTGAAAACTCTGGGCTGAAAGATGAAAGCAACCCATACCATCCAAATGACCCGAGCGCTTGCGTGTCATTGTGTAATGATGAATTTGCATGACTGCACTTGTGCCGCCTGGTTTGGTTTCATACTCTGATAACACAAAAAGCATGCTGGAGTGTTTTATCTTTATTTTATAAAGCATGCTTATAGTTTCTATTTTTATGTCCAGTGACATTATTTATTTTGTTATTTTTTATTTATTTATATCCCAAAATATGACTTAAGAAACTGAGCCCCACACAAGCCAGTCAGTGCTTCAGACATATATGTAACGTTTTGTCTATGCGTGTTCATGTTTGTCCGCCCCTGCTAACTCACCTCTTTCACCCCGCCACACCCACACGGCAGTACGTCTCACACGCTACCGTTAGGCCGCACGTCTAGCTCTCGCGACCTGCCCGCCAAATCCTCCTCTGCATCCAGCCTGGAACCTAACAACTCTAAAGCCTGGCAGCAGCCTTCCTCCTACCAGTCTTACAGCATTCACCGCAGGTACCTGCCCAAGCACCGCCCAGCAAGCACACACACACACTCCATGTCCTCCATGTGTCTTTGTGTTCCCCACACGTAGCTTCTTGCTGTCTGGGGATTTATTTGCTTATGGGGTGTAGAGTTTTACTATACATTAGAATGGACTGAATATAGTGCTGGGTGATATATTAAAATGTTTTTCACAACTAACTGACAATTCAGTTTAATTCCGCCACTGAATAAAAAAAATAAAAAAGGTCATTGCAACCTTTTATCGTGCAATTCTTACTTTTTTTTTCTCCCAATTGCGAGTTTACATCTTGCAATTCTGACTTTTCTGAGATAAAAACTCGCAATTCTGACTTTTTTTTTCTCGGAATTGTGAGTTTAGGCTATATCTTGCAATTCTGAATTTTTTCTCAGAATTATGAGAGAGAAACTCACAATTGCGAGTTGTAAAGTCCAGTTTTGAGGGGGGAAAAAAGATTGATATGTTCTCAGAATTGCGAGTTTATATCTCACAATTTTGACTATTTCTCAGAATTACGAGTTTATATCTCACAATTCTGACTTAATAACTCACAATTGCATCTTATTAAAGTAGGAATTGCAAGATATAAACTCAAGTTTATATCTTGCAATTCCTACTTTATAACTCGCAATTTCAAGTTTATATCTCGCAATTCTGACTTTATTTCTCAGAATTACGAGTTTATATCTCACAATTCTGACTTTATAACTCGCAATTGCGAGTTTATATCTCAAAAATATGAGGAAAAAAAAGTCAGAATTGCGAGAAAAAGTCAGAATTGTGAGAAAATTCACAATTACCTTTTTTTATTCAGTGGTGGAAATGGGCTTCTATAGCAAAATGTGCTTTCAGTTAAAGAGAAAATTCAATCAAATATTGCCAAATATAAAGTCTACAGGGTATTGTTTTAATTTAAACATTTGTCAGATGAATAAACATTAAATAAAAACTAGATAAAAAAGTTCGTCAAGACAAACTTTAGGTTGGCTTGAGAAAGCCTAGCCTGAAAGTTTAAAGCAGTTGTAAAAGCCTGAAGTTTGAAAATTTAGATAGATGTTGATAATATGTTTCTAGCATGATTAGCATGTTTTAGCATGATTAGCCTGTTACTAGCATATTGCTGGCATGATTAGCATTTACTAGCATGTCGCTAGCATGTTACTAGCATGTTGTTAGCAAGATTAGCAAATGATTAGCATGTTGCTAGCATGACTAGCAAGTAACTAGAATGTCATTAGCATGATTAGCAAGTTACTAGCATGTCGTTAGCATGATTAGCAAGTTACTAGCATGTTGCTAGCATGTTTAGCATGCTACTAGCATGTTGCTAGCATGATTAGCAAGTGACTAGCATGCATATATAAAAAATGCAAATAAAGCTTTAAATGAAATATAGAACATTGTCAGAAGTATATAAAAAAAAGATTTCTTTATATCGCCCAGCCCTAATTTTTTATTTTATTTTATTTTATGTATATTTTTTCATTTTATTTTTCATTTGTGCATTATGGACCTGCTTCAGGTTTGTTTCTTTTTTGTTTTGTTTTATTTTGCTTTGCTTTGTTTTGCTTTGCTCAGGTTTTCAGAATGAGGGAACTCTTTCCTGTTTTCTCCTATGGTACTTCTTTTGAGAAAGTTCTTTCTCTCCTCTTATGTTTGGTTTTGTCTCTTGATTGTTGTCTGTGTTGCTGTAGCGGATCGTTTGGAAGGAAGCAGGATGATGCTTTAAGTTCCACTTCTTCCTCCACCTCCACAACAACGACCTCCACCTCCTCTGTTACCTCACCCACCGGACATCGCAGCCTGCTGTCCAGGTACCAACACACACAGCAATCTGAACATCCGAGCTAAACACTCAGAATGGGATCTGTTAGTAAATTGTGTTGATGCGAAACAGGTATTGGGCAGAAGAGAGTACGGAAAAGGAGAAGGAGAAAGAGTCGGCCACGGTCATCCCCACAATCAACACTGCAGCCACCACCACTACCACCTCCACTACTGGAACTGTGCTGGGCTCTGACGGACGAGAGAGACGCAGGTACACACACACACTAACATATTATCACTGAGTGCGTTTTTGCACATACTTGATTTGCTTTGTGGAAAACAAAAATTGCTTAAACTCAATGTACCTTGGTAGGACATCTAGTTTGATCATTTAAAGAAGAGCAGCCGAAGACATAATAGATGTTTTCTTCGGTAGGCAGTTTTTTGTCTTGTTTAGATTCTACGTGTCAGCATTTAAATTCAGTTTAAACAATGTATTATGTTGCAGATCCTAATAATGTAAGAACTGTCTTATTTATTCTCCAAAGCCTATTTTTACTCTCATTAAAGCTGCCCTGAAGAGCCTCACCAAAAGTGCATGTTGCTTCAGCTGTTGGAGTGACGACATTTAACTGAGAGGATTTTGTTTCTTTGTGTTGTGTCTGTAGATCATACCTCACCCCTGTGCGTGACGAAGAGTCCGAGTCTCAGAGGAAAGCCAGATCCAGACAGGCACGGCAGTCCAGGAGGTCCACACAGGCAAGTCTAGACAATCTTCTAAACGCCTCTGCAGGAAGTCTCGCTAATAATAGACAGATCCACACAGTGCAGTTTACAAAATTGTTTTTTTTTTCTGAAATTTTCTTGGTTCTTTCTTCGGTTTTGGTATGTGTTTCCTGGAATTTATTACATCCTGAGCTCTGCGATGTGGCAGGGATTTATGGGAGAAATAACTGTTTACAACAGAGAGAAAACAGAGTTTTTCCCCCTTCAAAAGCAAGGCCTTATTGGTAGTGACTAAGGGGCTCAACATAAAACACCATAATTGAATATTTACTTTAATTATATATTACATAATCATGTGGTAATTCCTGAGTGTAAAGAGTGAAAAATGTCTTCAATTGGGTGAAGTTTAAAGCTGTTAAAGCTAAAGTTTAAAGCTCCACCACCAGTGTGCAACATCCACCTGGATGATGCGACGGCAGCCATAATGCACCAGAACGCCCACCACACACCAGTTCATTGGTGGAGAGGAGACAGAGTGATGAAGCCAATCAGTATATGAGGATGGTTAGGAGGCCATGATGGTCAGAGGCCAGTGGGCAGATTTGGATGCTGAGATCACACCTCTACTCTTTTCGAAAGACATTCTGGGATTTTTAATGACCACAGAGAGTCAAGACCTCGGTTTAACGTCTCATCCGAAGGACAGTGCTTTTTGACAGTATAGTGTCCCTGTCACTATACTGGGGCGCTAGGGCCCACTCAGACCACAGGGTGAGCACCCCGTGCTGGCCTCCCTAGCACCTCTTCCAGCAGCAGCCTAGTTTTGCCAGAAGGTCTCCCGTCCAGGTACTGACCAGGCTCAACCCTGCTTCGCTTCAGTGGGCGACCAGTCTTGGGCTACAGGGTGATATGGCTGCCATATCAATACATATCAAACTTTAAAAAAAAAAAATGAACTGAGTGCCGTGCATTATTCTCCACATATAGCACGATCTGAACCCTAAACGCGTTTTGTCAAAAAAGACAGTATTGTCCATTTTCAAGGCATCGCGAGTTCACTTGTTACTGCAGAAGCCAACACGCGCCCTTGCTGTTTGTGAACAGAAGCCGATAAGTCCATTTTAACGAATCAGCGTGCTGTATTAAGGTCAGGTGACAAGGCTGCCAGTCACTTTAAAAAAAACGTGCTAGCTGATAGGGGTTTCGTCAAAGCTGACTAAAAGTGATCGAGGATGGATAATTTCGACGAACTTGATGAACCTGTGATATCTTCTTCAGGGCGAAAAAGGAAAATAAAATCTGAAATGTTTTCACGGAACCTTGCAAAAGCAGCGCGTTACAATGGTGAGGGAAAAGCTCCGTGTATTGCGTGTAATCACATCCATACAGTCTATGATCACAACAACAACAACGTTTGTCAGGCATCTACATTGTCAGCTGAGGAGATTACAAAGATAAAACGAGTGTTTTGTTTAACTCTGAAACATGAAATGTGGAGTTATCTGCTTTTGCTATAAAACAAACTTTTAATATAGAAAAACATACTTTCAATTAACTTCAATTTTGTAAGTTACCTGTATTTATTTAAGTTATTATTACTTAATCAAAACAACCCAACTGCAGTTTGATTGATATTACTTGGAATGCACATGAAAAACATGATTTCTGAAAATAAATAAAAATGGAGTTATCCGTGTTTGCAAATTTATATATTTATTATTATTATTATATATATTTTTTTTTAGCAGACTCAGAAATGAATGGCATGATTTTCACCCTTTGACCTTCTTTTTTTCAGGGTGTGACCTTGACTGATCTCCAGGAGGCAGAGAAGACCATCGGTCGCAGTCGTCCCACATGGCCTCGAGAAGAGGAGAAAGAAGAGAAGGAGAAACAGGACAAGGAGAAACAAGAAGAGAAGAAAGAGACAGAGACCAAGGAGGATGACTACAGGTCACGCTACCGCAGCTTTGAAGAGGTGAGGAAAACTCCTTCCTGTTCCCGGTCACAGAGAACGTCTCAGGTTACTTATGTAACCATGGTTCCCTGAGGCGACCCCTAGAGGACACAGTTCGAAGTTCCCATGAAAGGGAACAGTGCAGTTTGTGGAACTCTAACTAGCATTCTAGTTTGTTTGTTTTTTTTATGTCACATTAGTTTTTTTTTTCTTGTCCTCCAGAAGTACCGGAGCACCTCCTTGGCCTCGACCACCACAGCCTCCTCCACCCTGCCTTCCTCCTCGTATAGCAGCTCCTCTTCTCTGTACAGCACCTCCTCTCTGAACCGATCATTTATTCAGTTTTCAGATGATGTATAAATCTCAATTTCGAAAAATTGACCCTTATGACTGGTTTTGTGGTCCAGGGTCACGTTATGCATAAAAACAGTAAACTTGCCTGTTTTTGGAAAGTTAAGTATTTCTTGCGTCACGAAACTTTACAAAACTTTACTTTTTAAGACAATGTACAGCAGTAATTATATGTATTGTTCCCCTCAGTGCAAATTTACTTCATTGTCATGAAAAGGTTACAATGCAAAATGCAATATCTGTGTGGTCACTGAGTTGAGTGACATGGCACAGGAAGGAAAATGAGTGATAGGGCTTTGAGGCATTCCAGGAACTGCCATACAGACAGGAAGTTCCTGTAGTATGGTTGCAGACTGACTAAGCCAAGCTTCAGTTTGCATTCATGTGGTTGCTAACTTTTACTCTTATTAATAAAGAGGATTTTTTCCGTTTCTGATTTGCGGAAACCCATGATAATAAGAAACAATTTTTGTTTTCTTAAAGGCTCGTGTACACTACTGTTCAAAATTTTGCAGTTGGCAAGTTTTTGTTTTTGAAAAAAGTATTTTATGCTCACCAATGCTGCACCAATACAGCCTAATGTTATTAGATTTTATTGATGTATACTGTAGGGACATTAATTTTATTTGTGCAGGACTTAAAAAGGTCTAAAGTTTTCCAATGAATTTGATTTTTAAAACTCAGCTGATACCCTGAATCATTCTAATATGCTGATTTGGTCAAGAAACATTTCTTATCACATTTGAAAATAGTTGTGAAAGTTAATATTTGAGTGAAAACTGCATTTTTCAACTTTTTTTTTTTAGGATTCTGTGATGAATAGAAATTTTAAAAGAACATTTATTTTAAATAGAAATTTTAAAAATATATTTTATTATTTATTTATTATTATTATTATTTTATTACATTACTGTAACTTTTATTAAAACAGACTTTTATTGCAGAATACTGGTATTAGATTTATTTTATTGTTTAGTGTTCATTCATTTTCTAAGATTTATTTTTATTCCATTTAGCTCAGCCAGAATTTCCAGCAAAGTCCTGGAGCTATATTCTTCCCATAAATAAAACAGGGATTTCTACTAGTGGTTTATGTACATTCAGAATGCTCAGCTGTACTCATAAAGAACCTTATGTCTGTTTTCTGACCAGAGTCTGATAGAAAAGAAAAAGAGGACGACAGGGACGCTGAAGACAAGTCTCAGCCACGCTCTATACGCGACCGCAGACGACCTCGAGAGAAAAGACGCTCGACTGGAGTGTCCTTCTGGACCCAGGATGTAAGAAACTTTTGCACGCTCACACAAACTTGCTCTATATGGACACTGGTACAAAAGACATCATGGGAGCTTTATAATCAAGCTCCAATTTGTCCCCAGCCATGATGGTTATAAATAGTGGTTGACCGATATATCGGCCGTCATTTGGCATTTTTTAAATATCGGCATCGGCCGATAAGTTTTCCTGTTTGGCAAATGCGTTCGTAGCGGGACGTTTATTTTGACGGCGCTGAGAACGGCAGCGCCTGAGCAAACAGTGCTCACATTCTCCCTCTTTTTCGCTGTTGTCATTAACAGTTCTGTCTAATATGGATAGAAGTCTGTCTAATAATCAGATAGAATGATTAAACAAAGGAATTAAAACGTATTCGGTTTGGCCGATGCGTTCGAGGCGGGACGTTTATTTTGACGGCGCTGACAGCGGCAGTGCCTGAGCACACAGTGCTCACATTCTCCCTCTTGTTCGCTGTTGTCATTAACAGTTCTGTCTAATATGGATAGAAGTCTGTCTAATAATCAGATAGAATGATTAAACAAAGGAATTAAAACGTATACAAAAAGTATCATAATGATTGCTTTTATATTAGGCCTATTAGTAATAGAAAGGCAAACATTATAATACTTTCTTGTTTGCCATCAGCATTAAGCAAATACGGATTTATATAATTTAAACAAATCTTTGAAGGACTAATGAACATTTAATTTCACAAACCTTGCAAACTTAGTCGAATCCAGTTGTGAGACCTTATGAAGAGTGCATTTGTATCCTGCGTGATCTCGTGATCTCTGCGTGACGGTCGGTCCGTGTGAATTGAATACGGACAGGAGGAGAGTTCAGCTTAACTGGAGATGCGCGATCAACAAACTTTAAACTCGTGATTTCAAATTATGCTGCGCTTTATGCATTTGCCCTCTGCCATATTCATGTCATTTTCACTGTGTGCTGTATGTAAAATGAGTGTTACCTTGGCTTTATTTGAAAAAAATATGATTCCCAAATCCCAATGCTCACAAACTTCCCAGAATGCTGAGTGCCCTGTTGGTTACAGTGTTTACTTTTTAATTATATTTTTTTATTAAATATTTATTTATTTGTGAAAAATACTTTGTCATCTAAAGTATAAGTATGTTAAATTTAACACATTTCTTTTTTAATCCATTTTCAAATGATTTCAGATTTCTTAAATATTAATTAAAATAAATAATTATATCGGCCACCCTGCTTTCCAAGATATCGGCATCGGCTGTCAAAAAACCAATTTCTTAAATATTAATTAAAATAAATAATTATATCGGCTATCGGCCACCCTGCTTTCCAAGATATCGGCATTGGCATCGGCTGTCAAAAAACCAATATCGGTCGACCACTAGTTATAACTATATAAATATTTCCAATTATTGCATGCCTCTCCAGATTACTTACTTCTGATTGGGCAATTGCAGCTGGCCAGGAAGAAAAGTTACCTGCCAGCTGGTCATTAACTCAATTTTATGTTCATGCCAAAGCATTTAATTTTGGCTTAATTGTGGACCCTTTTATAGTTGGAATATAGTGGAATTTGAAATTCATTTCTATGTTACAGAGTGACGAGAACGAGCCAGAGCAGCCATCAGACTCAGAAGAAGGCAGCACTAAAGGAGAGCCTCAGGTGAACATCATATCACTTACAATGCATCTACTAACACAAATGTATCAGTTAGACAAACGCCAAGTTTAAATAAATCAGCTGCTTATTGTGTTGGACTGTTTTTGAAGGACTTTGAGGTTCTTCCTCTGCCCAGCTCTCTGTCTTTCACCTTGTATAGTCAAAGAACAGATTGACTTTCCTTCATGTTTGGCAGGACAAACAATTCACTCACATTACCATGTCTGCTGACCCTGTCCTCTCTCTTCAACTTCCTGGAATTGTCCCAGCAGCATTAGTCATCTTAAAAATGAAAGTCGGCCTGATTCACAGCCTGCCGATTGTCACCTATTACAGGAATAGTTAAGGGTTCAGTTTCTGGCTCCAGCGATAAAAGAAACTACGTGGCTAGTCACATGAGCCGCGCTTGGTGTGTTCTTAAGCTGTTAGTGTTGGTGTGACTAGAGTGATATTGTGAGTCCAGTGAGGATAAGATAAATATCCTGTGTCAACATGATCCTGGAAACAGATCACACACAGTTGGGCAGAAAACTGGGAATGAGGGATTCAAAAGTGGTGACAATTTGTTTGAGTCAGGAAGGTCAAGAAACAAAGAGTAGGACAAAGCTTTGTTGTTGACTGTTGGGTCAATGGAAGAAGAACAGGAAATATTTTGCGCATATCAAGTGGAAGAAAAACCAGCTGATGTCTCAAATCATCCTCCTATTACAACACTTTTTCAAGTGCGCTTGTTACAGCATGTCATCCAGGTTTAAATTTAGCTCAGATATTGCCGAATAGAGCTAAAGATCAGTTTTTGGTTGGATGTTTCCAAATGATAAGTGTTCAGCGGGCTGCAATATGAAAGAAAATCTAATGCGGTCTGTGGGTTCTTTATGAGACAGCTGTTTTTTTGTTAGCTTAATAGCACACATTTCCTCTTTGTGTGCTGTTCTGTATTGAAAAGGAACTTCTGACACAAAGCTGAGTGCTTCAGTGTGCTTCCAGGGCAATCAGCTAAAGGAAGTGGGCATGCATATGGAATATTGTGCACAGTATGCATACTGCATACTAGTGCTGGGCGGTATACCGGTTCATACCGAATACCGGTGTTTATTTTTGTTATGATAATGTCGCTTAAGCAACGTTCGGAACGCGACACTGTTTGAAAAGGGGTCCCTTTTCACTGTTACACTGTGGTGAGGGAACAGCTGTATGTGTTACTAAGCGTGAAAGTTCCGAAACTGAAGCTGTAGAACTAATAGAACATGATGACAGAAGAACTCATCCACAATATCCACATTGACCGCCACAAATATCCACCGCCCTCTGCCATCAGCTCCCGCATCTCTCACACACACGAGCACGACTTTAGCACTAGATTTAGCAACTTTCAGACCCCTTTAGCAGCTTTTTCCCGTAGAATATTCATACTGACAAACCTAGCGACTTTTTTGGATAAACCTTAGCTATGGTTCAGTTGGAAGATTTCAAGTGCTGTCCTGGGAACGCGAGGTCTGAGTTTCCCGGAGAAGTGTCACCTCTCTCGGCGTCTGTTCTGTGCAGTAAGCGGCAGAGAAGCAGCGCATTCAGTTGGCCGCACTGCAGCCGACTCGTCAATAAATGAGTACAAAACAGCGTTTCCTAGCACCTGTCGCTTACTGATTGTTTGGAATTATAAATATGAGCGTAGTTCATCTGTTAATATCACATGCACTTTTTTTGTTTGTTGTTTTCTTTAGTTTGTTACTCAGACGCAGGCAGTGCGCTGCATGAGACAAAAAAGTAATATAGCCAAAGCAACCGCATAGCCGCTCTTTAGTGTAGATGCATGTTGATTTTATCAGACGATGCCACGATTATAAATGAGAGTGACTCCTGGTTAACATGTATTAAAAGGGGTTGTGTTTAGTCACTATTTAGTGGTATTTTTTGACAATATTCACTCATCATGACAGTAAAATAGGGCATTCTAAGTCAATATACTGCAGTATTTCCTCTCTCAATCAGTAGAAAATATGGTTAACACCCGGTCATGAATGAAAAAAAATATATACCGTTGTGTACCGTGAAAACGGTATAATTTTGAAAAATACCGTGATATAAATTTGTGGTCATACCGCCCAGCACTACTGCATACTACCAACTTCCAAAAATAGTGGTTAATATTCCATTCCAAACTCATTCCAAAACCCTGTGTGCGCTCTGAGCAGCTGGGGAATAAGAGCAGACCAAGAAGTCTTGGCTGCTGATCAGGAATTCTTGAAGAAAAGCCCAGCAGGGCTGAGAGGTCTCAGAGCTCAGGGAAAGAAAAGAAACCAGAGGAGGAGGGAATGATGACCAAAGTCCTTTTACTTCCACCTTGATAAATGTGACACTCGTGTTGAAGTCAGACCTTTTGAAGCATGACACTTATTAGGACAAAATCAAATGGATTACACCCAGATGTCTTCAAGCACGTCCTTTACTGTAGAGCGGTAAATGATAGATTGCCGACCCGCGCAGACTCTCATTAAATAGCAGCGTTAAGCAGGCCATCAGAGCCAGGAATGAGAGCGTCACAATCCATCCCAGACTAATTGATAATCTGCATTCTAGACGCTCTGCTAGTCTAGACACTAGACAAACAGACACACTAAATGCATTATGAGCATGTGATTGATTAATAGCAGGTACAGACTTTGTAATAACTTCCCCTCTCTCTCTCTCTTCTCTCTCTCTCTCTCTCTCTCTCTCTCTCTCTCTCTCTCTCTCTCTCTCTCTCTCTCTCTCTCTCTCTCTGTTCACATCCACAGAGTGACAGACTGTCCAGGTATGTATCCCAAAACACACCAGGTCACTTAAGATCAGCTAAATATGATTGTATTCATGCCCATTATGAGAACACAAATGGATAATATAAGTATCCATCATTTTCCCCCCTCAGGTATGACCCTGTCTCTACTAGCACTTCCTATCTCGACCGTTACGAGTCTTTGAGTAGCCGTGGCATTGGGGAGAGCCGGCGGCCGTACTCTCGCTTCGAAAGAGACGACACCACTGATTATAAGAAGGTACAAACTTTGCGCTGTATGATTACGCCCCATAAAATAGTGGCTTCCTTACCGGTTGAGTGTTTACCCAACATGCTCTTTCCGCTTGCAGCTTTATGAGCAGATTTTAGCTGAAAACGAGAAGTTGAAAGCTCAGTTACGAGATACAGAACTGGAGCTGGCAGACCTGAAACTGCAGCTGGAGAAAGCCACACAGGTCAGATCCTGTCCACAATTCACTTTCTGAGAGACTTTGCCCATGTATCATCTGCACTCAAAGAGACACCAGTATTTTATTATTTTTTTTTATCATTGATTGTGGGAAAAAACACCAACAATTCATTCTTTAACAATAAAATTAATTGTGATAATGATAATACTCTAACACTGCTTTGTAGCATCAGACAGGGTTGCCACTGTCCTGGAAAACCTAGAAATATGAGTGCATTTTCAAGTATGATTTCCAGGCTGGGAAAAGAAAGAAATTAAATTTAAAAAAATAAATAAAATAAAATAAGCAACTTGGTTATTTTTTTCTTCAATTGCCTAAACACCTTTTTTCCTCAAATTGTTAACATTTATACTGTAATTTTAATACTGTCACAGTGTGTTGTTGCGTCAGTGGTGGAAAACCTGGAAATATATTCAAATTGGAATTTAGAATCAAAAGAAATAAATGACTAGAATCATTCAATCAAATAAATAAATGAATCCGAATTAATTCTGATTATTGATAATACTCTCACACTGCTTTGTTGGATCAGACAGGGTTGCCACAAACTTAGAAATATAACAGGCTGTGAATTGAAATGAAATGAAATAAAATAAAAAATAAAAATTCTTTGATCGCCTTGTTAAAATGTATACTGTCATTTTAATACCGTCACAGTGATTTGTTGCATCGGTTATGGAAAACCCTGGAAATATCTTAAAGTGGGAGTTTAAGTTTAGATTGGGAAAAGAAAGAATAGAAATTGCTAGAGTTATTCAATGAAATAAAGAAATAAATAATCAGAATTAATCCAAATAAATCCAACCAATATGATTCCAGGCCAGAAAAAGAAAGAGTAGAATAGGCCAGAAGCTTTTTGTGATTGCAGTTTCTTTAAAATTATTAAAAACGAATAATAATCATAAAAAGAAAACGCCGAAAATGACAAATGATTTGAAATGTCCTGAGCTCATCCATTGTGTTGTTTGGGTTGCAGAGGCAGGAGCGCTTTGCTGATCGATCACAGCTGGAGATGGAGAAAAGGGTAAAAACAACTGTTACTTGAATCTGTTGTCTCATGAAACATTTCCGTTGAGTTTTAATGTATCGAATCATCGTTCCCCATCCAAGTTAATGTGCCATGGCAGTGGAGGAGCATGTGTACTTCACTCTAATGCAGTGATGAGGCATTGAATCCATAAAGGATCGTTAATAGATAAAGCCCCATATCAGCATCTTTCAACTCAAATGCTGAGATTTTGGAGATGTTTACAAACTGATCCAGATAAATGCTGACTTCTGGCCTTGTAACTGTTCCGCACTGGTTTATGTCTGAAGGTTGCAGGCAGGTCTCAGGCTCAGCTGGGTGCTTTGGGTAACGTTTAACCTGAATTTAAAGTGTTACAGCTCTGCTAGTGGCTGAATCACGTGCCTCTCACAGCCCGAGGGGTTAGAACCAAACCCCATCAGTCAATCACAATCCCTCTTTCACTCTTTTCTTGAAATCACTAAAGCGACACACCTTTCCAGACTTATGGAAAAGAATAATATATCATGCGAGATATAGAGTATGGTGTGGTTTCTCTTTCAAACATTGTATCTGCATGCGTGTGAAAATCATTCCAAAACTTTTTTTGGTTCCTGTTACATCCATTTACAGTATTTAACGTCATTTATATTTCTTAATTATTTACATTATTCCTTAAATTATGCACTAATTTGGTCTGTTGTTGAAATGTGGTACACATGCCTATATACACATACTGAACTGGTTTTTTTTTATTTTTTACTTTTAACATATATTTTAATACATTTAATTTCTAATTATTATTATTTATAATAATTTGTTTTTATTATTTATATTATTTTATTTGTATGATTTACATTGTATTATATCATTTTTAGTAATACATACAATTATAAACATAGCAATTATTTAACCATTTTTAAATAATAATAATTAATTTAATTACACTATACAGTTATTAAGTGACATAATGTGCTCAGACCTGGTGTTAGCATGAATAAACCGAACTATATTTCTAGCTCTTGATCTGCTTCACTAAGCAGTGTGTGGTTTCCTTTACTTTGTTCACTTCTCTCTGTTTTGACATTCATTCACCTGATGCATCCACGATTCTCTATCTTTCTTTGTTTGCAGTGATGGTGAATCATGCAGTTGTTTATGTGTGTTTTATGGGCATGTGCGCTAACTTGTCAGTGTGTGTGTGTGTGTGTGTGTGTGTGTGTGTGTGTGTGTGTGTGTCTGCAGGAAAGAAGAGCTTTAGAAAGGAAGATCTCTGAGATGGAGGAGGAACTGAAGGTACTTTTTGTTTGTTTTTAAAGTGTGTGTGTGTGTTGTGTGCATCATTAATATCAATAAAAACAAGAATGAAAATTCTTTATTCTAACTTTGCGTGTTTAAGTGAACTATGGTCCATTTTTGTAGAAATGTGTTTATGTGGCTTAGTCTATTTTTTCAGCTTTAATGAGTATACTAGCATATAGATTACTTCAAATATAACAGACGTGGACTAAAAGCTACAAAACTTTGATCCCCCCCGCTCGTATATGAGACTGAAGTTTTTTTTTCTTTTCTGTTCATTATATTATTATATCTGCTTCATAGTGCGTGTGATAAGGCCCAGTTGACTGGTTTCAGCCATACTGTTATATTGTACATCCTTTCAAATCTCTTTTCTAAAATGCATATCCTATGACGAGTTGCCTCTTTTTTCTAATGTGTGATAAATTTGTATAAATGCATGTTTGTGGCGACTACAAGGAAGTTAATGTTAAAAGGCGTCTATGTGTCGAAGGGTTATGTTAGATGTTTTCTCTTGCCTTTGGTTTGCGTGTTTTAATCTTTCTGCGACATGATGGATTTGTGTATTTCAGTATTATATTCCCCACTGAATTCACCCCATTTCTTAAGAGTCTGTGTGTGAATTTGTGTGCATGTGAATCTATACATTGAGGACAATATGTCCATAGAATATCTAGCAAAAATTTGGGGACATCGGAGGATGTCCTCATTTCTAAAACTGATATGTACCCTTTTTATCATTTAAATTTTACAAAATAAGTAATTTATATATAATTTATGTGTTTTTTATTTTTTGGTTAGTCTAGGAGTGGTTTCCAAACTTTTTGACTCCCAAGGGCCCCTTATTGTCAAAGACTATATTTGAAGGCCCCCCAAGATATTTCTGATACTTGTTATAATGACAAAGCTGCTTGTTAAAAAAAAAAAAAAATCTACAAAAGCTAGTTGTAATATACTAAAATATATCTTAAAATTCTATTATTCTAAAACTTTCCATAAGTAATGTTATTCAGGATTCACTTTTTTTAATTGCCAATGAAATTGCTAGTTATTTGTGGTTACAGGTTTTTTATTATTATTTTGTACTCTACCTGATAAAAAATGCTAGAGTTTGAAATAACTAGAAAAAATATATTTCTTTAAAAAAAAAAAATCCATGAAATTTTAGAAATTTTTATGAAGTACCCAGTTCTTAAATAAAAATTAAAATAAGATTAAAATAAGAAAGGATGTCAGCTAATGTATTGATTTTTAGCTGTTTTAGCTTTTGAATTTTTGTTTTGTTTATACAATTTTAAACCATCTTAATGTCCACTTGGAAGTGTGCTGAAGCCCACTTTTGGCCACGACTACCTAAAGTCTATTAAATGTCCCCATTTATAGCCAAGCAAATGTATGCATGTCTGCGCATCTTTTTCCTGTTCAATTTCTTTGAATTATTTTTGAGATCCCATATTTTTTTTTCCTTCAGTGATCTATCGTTCACTTTAACAGTTTACGTTAATACATTATTCCTTTTTTTTTGCATTCATTTTTGTCTGATGTCTATCATCTTCTCCTCTATCGTTCTTTCTGTTTCTGTCTCTCGTAGAATCTTCCTCAGGTAAAGCAGGTGCAGTCTCTGCGTCAGTATAACGAGCGTTTGCAGGCAGAGAACAGGGCGCTGGCTCGCGTGCTCTCCAAAATCTCGCAGGGCTGCAGCCACCTGCCCGCCGCAGACCTGTAGACCCGCCCCCACCTCCCCTTACACCCCTCCTCATGCTCTATTCAGCACCGCCCACACCCATATAAAGGCAGGTGCCAGCTGAAGCGCCGCCTCCCTCTGTGCTTCCTGGGGAGGATTTTGGGGCTTAAAAAAAAAAACAGTACCGTTATTGCTAAAAAAAAAAAAAAAAACTCTACTAAATACTGTACATTTTATTATGTACTTTAGAAATGACTGATATTTTGCACATTTTTTGATCAGTTCTACAATGTCGTCATTAAAACATTACATAAAAATGTTTTTTCAAGAGTTACATTTTACACATGGCATGTTTCTTGAATTAATGTAATTGATAAAAAATGAAAACACTAATAATGTTTACCCAGATTTTTATGAAATGACATTTTATGAATGGTCAATACTAAAATTAATATTTTCATTAAACACCGCTCATATGAATCACACAGTTCCTGCTATTTTTAAAACACCTTTTTTAGTAATAAATTGTACTGTTTTTGTTTTGTTCTGTTTTTTGAGCTTGTTTGAACTTTTTTGGCCCCTCCCCTCGAATGTGTTGCAGTGAAGTGCAGTCCCTTTTGGATGACTACGGCATCTTGCATGAGGTGCTTGACTGTTTTTTTGTGAAATCAAATACAGTTTCTCTGCTTTTTTTAATTTTGGAGACCAACCCTTTTCCCCCCAGTCCCAGATTTTTTTGATTTTTGGAGCGGAACTGCTATTTATGCTCTGCCTGAGGCTAATCTGGATTGCATGGCTTCTGGAAACTCATGCATTTTAATCCACAGATTGTCGCTGGCAAACACTTAAATTACATTGGATCTTTTCTAGCATAATCTAGCCGATTGTATACAGAATGAGAAACATTTTTGGATGCATTCTGTTTGCCGATAGGCCTCAAACACAGTATAATATGACTTTTTTTCCCCTAGGTTTTTAAGTTCTGTTTCTTTTACTTAGGTCTGTTTTGTTTTTATGGACTGTTTTTAATGCATTTTTCCAGTTTTTGCACTTGCTGTACTCCACAAACTGTAAACCTCTCTCTTGGGAAGTATCATTACATCGTTAAAATGTAGTTGTCAGTGGCAAGTTTATCACAAGGAAGTTGTTTCTTTGCGCTCCTGCAAAACATCTAAAGTTCTTCACTGACACACAATTTTTTGCCTTTCTTCTTAGAAATATTTCACCCAAAAATGAATGTTCTGTCATCATTTACTCACCCCTATAGTGTTATAAACCTGTATGACTTTCTTTTGTGGAAGTTATCTAGCAAAAATAAGCTTACTGGGACTGTAAAACTACATAATTGTCAAAAAAGGCACCATAAAAGTGGTCCAAATGACTCTTGCTGTTTTAGGACATGTGAGGTCACGTAATGACCTTTTGTAAGAAAAACGACCAAGAATGAAGTCAATGCTTTTGTTTAACTTCCTTTAGTTGTTCAAAAATAGAAAGAAAGGGGGGAGTAAACTAAGATGACTTTCATTTATTACTTTAGCTAGTTTCTCCTAACTGATCCTTTTTCGTAAACATGTTTGATTTTGTTCACAAAACTCCACATAATTTCCAGTTAGTCCAATTAGTAGTCTTCCTGACTGCTATCCGTCTGTCAGTGTACGGTCAATGGTGAAATCTCCACTTCAACACTGTAACCTGAAGACTGAAACGGATCGGTATCGAGTAGCGCTCAGTGTTGTGGTTTATACAGACACTTTGAGGCACTCTTGTGTTCCGACACTGTGTGTACAGAGAGCGAGAGAGAGGACCGTCTGGCCTGAGTGCTGTCCTCATCTGAGAGTGCATGGCTATGGTTTCCCATTGAACTGCAGTGTGCCTGCTGGTTTGTGTGTGTGTGTGTGTGTGTGTGTGTGGATCTACGGTTCCTTTTCTACTGAAATGGTGCTGGTTCTGGTGACATGGAATCTGCAAACTTAGAAACGGTGGCTCATTTTCACTAATTTTAGAGCCAAATGATGCCGCAACTTTGCTAGGGCTGGCTGATGTAATTGTAATCATTTTGATGTGTGTGTGTGTGTGTACACTACCAGTCAAAAGTTTTTGAACAGTAAGATTTTTAATGTTTTTTTAAAGAAGTCTCTTCTGCTCACCAAGCCTGCACTTATTTGATCCAAAGTACAGCAAAAACAGTAAAATTGTGAAATATGTTTACTATTTAAAATGTAATTTATTCCTGTGATTTCAAAGATTTGTTTAGTATGTATGTATATGTATGTGTATGTATGTGTGTATACTGCATATATATATATATGTGTGTGTTTGTGTATTTTTTATTATTCTTTTATATATGATTTTAGATATTTATATTTTTTATATATTTAAAGCGATTATTATTTTATTTATTTTGCTATTGCAATAATACAAAAAGTGACATGCGAATATGAAAGTGTTAAAACACTGAATTTATTCAGATTCAGAGCTCTGACTCAGCTATTGGTTGATGTTAACGCATGGGATTTTTCATGTATTAAAGCTTAATTATATTTAACTATACATATGCATGTAAATTAACATTTATCAAACAAGTATCAAATGTATCATAAGTATCAAATGTAAAAATACATGTATAATTGGTGCATATAAATGAACATCAAATGTAGGTTTAAATCTGTATAGAATTAAATTATAATTGTAGTTATTTTAGGATATATTCATTTTTTATATTTTTTTATAATGTTTATATATATTTATATTTATAGATATGTTTTAATTTGCTAAATTGTTTGCAACTATGTATTGATTTATGGGTGCATATTAAATGAAAATGTAAATCTAAAAAAATAGTTACATAGAAAGTATTACTAAATTATTTCAAATATTTCTTTTCCCTATTCGATGCAAGTCAAATTTTGAGTAATTAGTGTAAAACAGAAAAAATAAAAAAAAAATGCATTTTGAGGCTGTTTGGCTTAAACAAAAAATATAAAAAATATCACCATTTTAAGTCATTTCAGAGCAAATATAAACTTTTAAGAAGATTGAAAAATATTGAGAGAATTAATGTCTGCCCGGCAATTAGACATTATCATGCTATTATTGGTTTTAGTCCAGGAGCCATTCCCTATCCCAGATTCCAGATCAGGCACCATCACCATTTCGGTGAAAAAGAAGATTGTGTTGAATAGGAAGTGCTGTTCAAAGGAAGGAAGGAAGGACGCAGCAATCATATAAATGAACATCAAATGTAGGTTTAAATCTGTATAGAATTAAATTATAATTGTAGTTATTTTAGGATATATTCATTTTTTATATTTTTTTATAATGTTTATATATATTTATATTTATAGATATGTTTTAATTTGCTAAATTGTTTGCAACTATGTATTGATTTATGGGTGCATATTAAATGAAAATGTAAATCTAAAAAAATAGTTACATAGAAAGTATTACTAAATTATTTCAAATATTTCTTTTCCCTATTCGATGCAAGTCAAATTTTGAGTAATTAGTGTAAAACAGAAAAAATAAAAAAAAAATGCATTTTGAGGCTGTTTGGCTTAAACAAAAAATATAAAACATATCACCATTTTAAGTCATTTCAGAGCAAATATAAACTTTTAAGAAGATTGAAAAATATTGAGAGAATTAATGTCTGCCCGGCAATTAGACATTATCATGCTATTATTGGTTTTAGTCCAGGAGCCATTCCCTATCCCAGATTCCAGATCAGGCACCATCACCATTTCGGTGAAAAAGAAGGTTGTGTTGAATAGGAAGTGCTGTTCAAAGGAAGGAAGGAAGGAAGGACGCAGCAATTAACAAACATCAGCATCCAAAGCCACGCCAACAACACAGCACTCGTCCTTGTCCATTAATCTAACCCGTCCCTCTTCTGTTCTCTCTTCCAGACGCTACCAGACTTGAAAGCAGACAACCAGAGACTAAAGGATGAGAACGGAGCGCTGATCCGAGTCATAAGCAAGCTTTCCAAATAGAACAGAGCCTCCCCACGACCTCCGGCAGTAACTGTATTGCACATTTAGATATGAATACGAGACAACGGCGACAAGAAGGCTCCGTTTCTCAGTCCCCAGCTTTCCCTCGCTTCTCCGCTCCACCACCTCACCACTCACACAGAACCACTGCGTTTACAGAACTAAGGAAAAGCGTTAGACGAGAGAATGGCATTGAACACTTTGCGGGCGGGGAAAGCCTCAAAAAACTATTTAACCAATAAGCCTTAGTTGTACATACGTCACTTGTATCAAATTTCTCTTGGCTGTCACAGAACACCTGATTTTATTTGTGCCACACTTTTTTTTTTTTGCGTTTTTTTTTGTTTGTTTTTTTGCTTCGCTCTTTAATCTTTCTTCCTGTATAGATGTGTTATGCAATGTGCAGCTCTCTCCTTCCATTTCCTTCAACCCCCGTCCCGAATGGCGCCAGAAGTCCCGCCTCGTCCTCGGAGGCACTGTCTCTCAGCAGAAGACTTCCCAGCATTCCACAGTGCTGGCGCACGCGCACGCTCCGCACACTTCCTCCTCTCTCACGGACCCCTGGCTTTACCGATTAGGTGGACCTTGTGGAATCGAACCTTTCACTTATGTGCAATATATGCGTTTCTTTCTCTACAAACGCTTTAAGAACGTTCACTCTTGCACCACTTTCGTGGCTCACCCCGGTTTCCTTCCTCTCCCCCGACTTTCTTTGAGTTTGTAGTGTAGTCGTTGATTTATATCTTGTACTCCTCACATTGTTTTAGCAGGTACTGAGTGAAGTTGTATATACCTGTATGTATCGTTTGAGACCAGCACATGGCATGCGTTTATGGTTCCCTGTCTGTTACTATTGAAATATACCAACTCCAGAGGACAAAGTGTGTTTTTAACTATTTCCTTCTTCTTTTATAGTCGAAAATGTCATTGGATAACAATAGAGCCGCCCTCTTCAGTGCATTTCTTTCTCTTCTTCTCAGTTTTAAAAGTGTTCACGGTAATTGTGAGATAATAATATAATTGCTTCACTACATTTCACACATTTTATTCAGTATCTTTGGAAGAGTGCTGTTCATTTTTTTTTTGTCCTTTTCCCATTTTTTTTTTTTTTAAGCTGTAGTATTAACTAAGGTGTTGTCACTAAAAAGAAGATCCTAGATATCGCTAACCAGTCCTTTTTACAATGTCTACATGCACTGTCAATGCCATGTCAGGAGTCTTGCTGTCCGGTTTAGCGAACTTTTGCCACCGCGTCAGATGAAGTCCATGCATCGGAAACACGTTTTATGCATTTCAGTGGCCTTTTACTTAAAATACTGTAGTTGGAAAAAAATGTCGCTGTAGTTGGACTGTCAGCTGTCTCCTCTTTGGTTTAGGTTTTTAATATTTTTTTGTTTTTGCTTTTTAAATTTCCCATCATCTTGTAAAATAGATGTGTGGCTTCATCCGTGCAAGCTGTGCTGTGACTACCAACCACTGAGAGTTAATTAAAATAAACTTGTACATTGTAAAAATTTCTCTGCTTTTGTGTCCTGTTTTTTTTTTTCTTTCTTTGACATTCTTTGATGAATCGAGCACTTTTAGATGTGAGAACCAGTCGAATGTTGTCAGATTAACGTGCTGTTAAATGTAATAAACTCAGACCCAGTGTCTATTCTAAAAAAATAATTAAACTACTTTTCAATGAGTGGCGAAGGATTGAAAAAGGAATATTGGATTGGATGCTTCTAAATTATTTTGTTAGTGCCATATCTCACATTGCTGCTTAAAAAATAAAATAAGTAAATAATAACAATAATGAATCAGCTAAATAATTGTAGATTTTAGGAATAATCTTTGAATATAGTCCAGTTTTTACAAAAAACTTTAGACCAAAAAAACAAAAGTTATATAATATTGGTATTTCCCCAAAGAATGATGATTTTGCCAGAAAAGGTTTTGGAATTTTTATCATATGTTAATGTAACAAATCTTGTGTAATATAACTTTTGTTGGCTGTTTTTTATTGTATTAGTTATACTTGAATTTTCTTTTTTATTTTTTTTTTTGCCATGAAAATAGCCTAAGATGCTGACATGGCATTAAATAAAAACTATGAATTTTGAAACTATGAACTATGAACCCAATGAATGCACGAACTTCTTGAATGGCAAAGAAGTTAACATTCATTGATCGGGGGGCTTACATGTTTTTCATGATGGTGAAAAAATAGTATATTAACTAACTAATAATAATATAGTAACTATTAATTTAAACTCAAGACTTAGAAGACAAGAATATAAGATCCATTATTAGGTCAATAAAAAAAAAAAAAAGAACTTGGGGAAAAAATGTTATACTAAAAATGTTTGTGTGTGTTTATATAAAGCAATAAGCCCCAAGAAGCCATGGTTTACGTGGTTTACGACGTGAAGCGGAGTGCCTAAAACCCCCTTAGCTGTTATAAATTCACTGTAAACCACGGCTTTACAGGGCTTACTGCTTTTATAAAACGGTTATTCCATGTACGTAGTAAGGTTTCACAGAATAAAACGGAGCAAATAAAGTGTAATGATATAAATAAAAACAGTATTCTTCCACGAAACAATGTAGTTCCTCAGAAACAGTTGTGGTTCCAACAAAGTGGTTGCCGAGCAACACACAGAAGTGTATGTTTGTAGAGTAATTTACAACAGCTTCGAGCGCAGCTCAACCAATAAGAATCAAGGAGCGGAACTATCCGTTTTATAAATATAGTTTTAGTACGATTATTCAATCAAACGTAATGGCTCATGGATCTTAACCTTAAACCTGTGTTTCTTTTAATTATAAACTTCATTTTTCACTTGTTGAATACTAGTTCTAGTTCAAGTCTGTTTGCAGGAGAGAGTCTACTTTTTGCAAATGAGATGCTGTTTTTCTTCGTTCTTTTTTTTAAATTTTTTATATAGCTTCAGTACCACTAGATGGCGCCACTCTGATCTCAGCACAGTCGCTCCAGATGCTCTGCTCCATTCAACCCTCAACCTGGCATGCTTTTGTTAACAGGAAATGCAGGAAAAGTGTTGCTTGATGAGTGTCGTGAGGTCTTTTTGTTTATTTTTTTCCCCTAATCTTACATAAGGCTTGCATTTCTCTATGTGAACCCTCCGAGTATGTTTTGCTTGCTTGCTTCTTCTGGGGTTTGAAGTTACCCAGCGTTCTCATGCAAAGCCAGATTAAACATCACAAATTAAAGGGATAGTTCACCCAAAAACGACATATCTGTCATCAATTAAAAATCACAGCACTTTTTTGCATGAAGCTATATGAGGGTGTTTAAATGGTGACATCGTTTTCATTTGTGTTTGAATTGTCACTTTAATTGTCTTTTAGCAATTTCTCACAGAACCACAATAGAGGTCATTCCCGGACTCCTTGTAGGACTGCATTGATAAATGTGCTTGGCATGGAATGCTGCATGTTCTCATTGTGGCATGAAGAGCTCAAATAATGCAATAATGCTTTAAGGATAAGAGCCTGTATGGGTAGTAATTGCACATAGTCATGCAATGGGACTTTTGTCTTTTATTTTTTGTATTTTTCCATTTAGAAGTCTGCTAGAGACCCCTTCATTCTTCTGATTCTACCTCAAAGCTCTCTGTTCTAATGGGATTCTTGACAAAAACGAATGTGGCAAAGATCAGTTGGAGTGTTTCCCGGTTTAAAAGCAGGAACAAAACAAGAATCCAAAGCAATTATAGAAACAAATAGATTCCGTACTTTCATTTTTTGGTGATTTGCACCAGCGGGCCAACCTGGATCAGTTGCAGCAGTGTATGCGTCATGTCACATTTCATGCTTACACTTGAGTTATGCGATTAAACAATTCATATACAAGCACACAAGGCTGTGGAAAACGTGAATGTGAGCATTTTTTTGCTTGGTTGAATTCGCAAGGGAACTGATCCATCAAACCTCGCTGAATGAAGTCGAAGTGAAATAAAGAATAATCATAATGAAGATAATCATCATGAATCAGCCATTAATCAGCGCTGTGTGTGTTCTAATAATAAGGGAAGTAGTGCTGTCTGTCAAATGCATACTGCCATATTTGTACTAATTCTGCAGTATTTGCTATATGCATAAAATACAGAATACTTAATTCATTGTTTGATTTGACTGCAAAACGTACTATAATTTTTAGACAAAATTTGCAAGATGAAAACACTTTTTTGGGTTGTCCTACAGAAGACTTTGTGTGCATATTTTTTTCTTTTTTGGGCAGAAAAAAAACTTTTTCTTGCTTATTTTGCTTTTTATCTTTAATACACATTTTTAATGCACACCTTTTTTTCCTCTTTAACCCTCTAGCCATTTTGACTTGGATTTTCCGTAACAGAGGATTTTCTTTTCCCTGAAAATGCCAGTTAATGTTTTTATATTTGACTAAAACCTGATTTTGCTCACCCAGGGTATTTAAAAAATGAATTTTTGTACTCTTTGAGATTTTTTTTCCTTCCTTACCTTACACTTGTGGTGTTCCCAGTGAAAAATGACAAAAAAAATAACACTCTTCATTCATTCGAAATTCAAAACCTGTGCTAATTAAAAGAAAAGAAGTTGACAAATAGATTCAGTCAAAGATAATATAGCATAATGAAATATTTGCATGCGATTTTAAAAGGCTTGAACACCAAATTAGGTGAAAAAATGTTCAGCACAGCCCAAGGGTTAATACACATCTATATATCTACAGTATATAAATGTACTATATGCACTGTATACACAGTAGGTCTGTATCTTTCAGACCAGTATTGCAGAAAGCGCTTTGCATGTAAAAAGCCTCTTGTTGCTTGTGTTGCTGGTGAAATGCTTGATGGGATTTGTGGTGGGAGACTCCAACAGTCCTGGGCTCCAACTTCCATGGCCACTTCAGCATCAAAAACTTTGGTATTGTCTTTTGAACACAGTAACAAAACAACAGGTTGAACAATATCCATAAATAAAAACATATCCATTCAAATACCAACAAGTATTACAATTTTGTCAGATTTGCCTGTGTTTGAATGTGTGCACAATCACATATACATCATTTTTGTGTTAGTAGTTATTGTCTTAAGTATAATATATTTGTGACGCTTGGAATTTATAATTATACATTTCTGTGAGATTAGCCAAACTTATGCAGGGCTTTCTAGTGATTTTATGTGGTGGAATGTGGACAGTCAGGCAGCACATCATTGTTCAGTCTCTCGAATCAACATTGTACCGGTATATTTCCCTGTAATGAGACCAAAATTAGACATCCTTAGAATATTTGAGCACTTATTCCCCAGTTGACCTCACTCACATCGCCTTCTTTAATTTCTACTCATCTAGCTGGCCTGAACTCAATTATCTGCGGTGGCCTGAGCGACATCAGGAACCTCCAGTTCCAGGCCGGTGGGCTGCAGCTGAATATCTGGCGCAGACCCAGAGATCGGCCTCCAGAGTCGAGGCTCATCTCTTGTTCTCCTGGATCCATGGCACGCTGTCAATTACCATAGAAAATAATTTTGTCTGGTCCCTCAGTTTGTAAAAACAAACAGAATCATGTCTACAGTAATGCGCTTACAATGGAGGTCTATGGGGCAAGACACCCAACAGTACACACATAAAATGCAAACTATGCTTGTGTTAATTAATGACTGTACAATGTTATTTCCAATTTTAAACTCCTGCCATGACCATACAATGTCGTTTAACCTTTTAACTTTGTAAGGATACCAAAAAAAAAGAACTCTTTACAGAGAAAGTCCACCCAGAACCAGGTAATAACCAAAGTTCATCTGCCTAAAAACAATTTAGACAATTTCACAGCTTGAAATAACAATTTTTGTTCAGAAGTATTAATATCAGTGCTAAAAACCAGAATGCTTTTATCTTGTGGACATAGTTTCGAAACTGAGTCTGTTTTTTTTCCCCCATAGACTTACATTGTAAAAGCTTTTCTGTCAAAATAATTTTCTGTGGTAATCGACAACATGAATGAACATTCCTTTAAGGCAATATTCCAGGGTAAATACAAGTTCAACTCAGTCGACAACACGTGGCATGTTGATTACCACAAAAATAATTCCGACTCGTCCCTCCTTAAAAAAGTTGGGCAGTTACAAAAGAAGTAAATGGGGCCAGTCTATAAACACTGTTTCAATAGTATAGCCGCAAGATATAAACAATATGTGTGTTAATATGATCTTGGTGTCAAAAATTTACTGTGAAAAGTTATATCTAATTTTATAGCTTTTGCCATGATAAATAAATGACGAGAACAACTTTACAGTACAAAATAATTCACAATTTTTAAAATAAGAATTAATGAAAGAGCTTTAAATAAATATAATTTCACATTTGTAAATCCTCCAGAATTCGCCCCATTGAAAGTACCTCACTGTAACCATAATTTTTGTTTTTACTACCCATTTTCACTTTTTTTTTTTAAAGAGGTCATATGATGCGATTTCAAGTTTTCCTTTCTCCTGATGGTAAAACTAACGACATTATTAAC